CGAGGGACTCATCGCTTGTGTATAACCAACCAGAAACCACAACACTTGACATGTAAATCTGGGTGGCAAGCCTCTCCAAGGGTAATAAACCCTGCACTGTTACTGCTGTTTTCTTTTTCACTCTAGGAAGTCAGAAAATACCCGCAGCCTTAATGTCTTCTTGGAAACATGATGAACATCTACATTTTCCAGAGCAGGTCCAAAATCTTGGGTCATGTTTACGGCACAAGCATGTGCACATGTTAGAACAAAGGATTTTGCTTCTTTCAGCACCTCTTCCTTCAGAGATGAGTGGAAACAGATACAGCTCCAAAGGACTAAGGAAGCAGCAATTTCTCAAGTAACCTCCTCTGCCTCCCTTCTTCTCACTATGGGGCCACCTTGCCCTTAGGAATTCAGGATAGGTGTCAATTTGTGGCACTCTAGCTGGAAGACCACCAATTGATCAAGTTCTAGGCACCAGTGAATGTGGACTCAAGAATTTCATCCTTACCTTATGGGATATCAACTTGAATCAAGTATAAATGATAGCCATTACAATCCTAAGGAGGAGTAAAGCTGATGTAAAAAGAAGCACCTATCTTGGACTCCACTGTGATTGATGAGCTAGAAAAAAATACTGAACCACAGACTTCAAGATGGATTATCAGACACAAATATTCCAGAGCCAGGTAAGGAAACCACCATCCTCAAACCTTGCAAAAAGCAAAACTATGCCATAGTGTCCCGGACAAGTTAGCTGATTTACTGTATGTTACCGGTGTGAGTGAAGCGGATGTCTCCAAATAGCCTGGTCAATTATGCCAACTAAAGGGCAAAAGTAGTGTTTCTTTTTTTTTTTTTTTAAATTTATTTATTTATTTTTGGGACAGAGAGAGAGACAGAGCATGAACGGGGGAGGGGCAGAGAGAGAGGGAGACACAGAATCGGAAACAGGCTCCAGGCTCTGAGCCATCAGCCCAGAGCCTGACGCGGGGCTCGAACTCACGGACCGCGAGATCGTGACCTGGCTGAAGTCGGACGCTTAACCGACTGCGCCACCCAGGCGCCCCAAAAGTAGTGTTTCTTGAAATGGTAGATGTGAAAAACATTGATTAGACAGTTTAGCAATAGTTTTCAGGATGACTTACAGGTGGGCATTTGGTCTCTCTCGTTTCACTCTCTTTCCCTTGCTTTCTCTCTCTCTTCCACAAGCAGTTTAGAATTTATTCTAAGAATCTAACTTTGCTGGGGGTCAAATGGGAAACAGCTTCAGTGATGAGTTTGTTGGAATGCTCTCCCCAAATTTTTATTTCCATCACTCTTATACACAAATCCAAGAACCTGTCAGACTAGTGTACTGACAGTGTGCCTTTCCTCAGTAAATCAGTATTATCAAGGTCCATCATGGGCGTTTTGTAGAATGGTAGACCCTGGCAGAACCTCACAGATGCTTTGAAGACAACCTTTACCTTCAAATGATGAACCATACACATATTAAGGATCTCAACCATTTCTCAGTGATCTGTGTTATGTTACAACATCACAGCAGCCATTCTTACTGATCACGACTATATGGGATCGGTAAAATAGTTTCTGTCACGATAGTTCTTATGATAAGCAAATACTGTAGCAAATGCTATATTAGTACAATAATTTAGACGCACTCTTCACAGTAGATCCCAACTTCACATTAGTTCCCAATTTCACATTATTCACCGAGGAACATAATCCCCAGTAGAGCCATATCATCTTTATCATTCCCACTTTCCAGCGCCTACATCACGCCCACATATCCTACATTTGTATCTCCTATACAGAACCAGATTAATTCTTGATTTAAAGATTACAGAAAAACACTAATTGACCAAAAAACCCTCATGCACGTGTATATATCATTTAAAATTATATTTATACATTGTACATGAATATTGAGAATCCTAGTAGGCAATGTCAGAGTTTACTTTTTATCAAAATTGCTGCAGCCTTATTGTTTCTGAACACCACAAAATGAATGTATTCACCTAATTTTTAAAAATCAGATAATCTACAACATACAGAAGGGGGAAAAGGAAGCGTCATTGCTCTCCTCTTCCCAAACAACATACCTCTGTAAGCCCAGGAGATAACTACTGAGTAAAACTTGTTGTATTTCTTTCAGGAATTATCCTGTATTTATATCCATATATATCCATTAAAATGGAATCAATATCACACAAAAACATATCATTCCATGGCCTGTGTTTTCACAAACACCTTCCTTGTGACTATATAGAAACCGACCTCATCCTCTTATTGGTTGCTTAGTGCACCATTGCAAAGTTCTATCATAATCCATTTAACCAAACTCCTATTGGTGAAAATTTCAGTTATTTTCCATTTCTTCAACTTCTAAACATTTCAATGATCAGTCTTGTATATACATTTGAGCACAGTCATCTACTCACTTCCATCCCTAGGACAGTCTAAGGAGATCCCTTTTCCTTCTCCCACCCCAATGTCATCGGCCATCCATGCTGCTTCCATTGGGTGTTTCTACTCCCAGGGCCAATTAAGTGCATGAGCTCCCAGCGCTGCCACTCACTATTAGGGTGAAGTTACTTAACATCTCTGAACTCAATTTTCCTCATCTATAGAACAGGGGTAATATCAGCTTCTTGTTCCTAGATTCTGGGGGAATAATGAAATGTGGATGATTCATGTAAAATGTCTGACACTTTGTAAGTGCTCAATAAATGTCAAGTAATATGGCTAGTATTGCTTGTATCTCTGCAGAGAAAAATCACTCTGTCCTCTTTAGGATCTATGTTGACTATGTCCTCAGTCAACTATTTTGCACACTAAATGTCCACTGGGCAGTTTCTCTCTTCTGTCTACCTCCATGATTCCTCTCTTTCCTCATCTTCTGGTGAGATCCACTGCTGATTTTGCTATTAAAGACAATGGCAAAGCTCTTGCTGACAGAATCAAGGAAACCTACCCCTACCTTTCAGAATTACAGTTACAATTTCTCTTATGAAACTTACTATTTCTTTAATTTTTTTAACATTTATTTATTTTTGAGAGACAGAGACAGAGTGTGAGAGAGGGAAGGGGAGGGGTAGAGAAAGAAGAAGATACAGAATCTGAAGCAGGCTCCGGGGGCTCTGAGCTGTCAGCACAGAGCCTGATGTGGGGCTGGAACTCATGAAACATGGGATCAGGACCTGAGCCAAAGTTGGACACTTAACTGACTGAGCCAGCCGGGAGCTCCAAATATTTTTTTTTTTTTTTTTTAATTAATGTTTAGTTACTTTTGAGAGACAGAGTGCAAGGGGGAGGGGCAGGGGGGGTGGGAGACACAGAATCCGAAGCAGGCTCCAGGCTCTGAGCTGCCAGCACAGAGCCCCACATGGGGCTCGAACCCATGAACCTTGAGATCATGACCTGAGCTAAAGTCAGACGCTTGGCCAACTGAGCCACCCAGGTGCCCCTGAAACATACTATTTCAGTGGTTAGTATTAGTCTTTGGTTTATTATAATTTATTAGCTCTGGTTCATTATTGATTTTCAACTCTTCATTGTGGAATGTCTTTTTTTTTTTTTCATTCATTCATTCTGCAAATGTTTGTTGAACATTTGCCAAGTGAAGGTACTAGACTGGGCCTTCCAGATACAAGACAATGAAACATCAAACAATTTACAATCCAGTAGGGTAGAAAGAATCTGACAGCAGATAAGAACAACTAGGTGTTCTAGATCTGTCTCTGTACTCTGCAAAGCAGAGTCACTTGGCTGGGGGATAATCCAAGAGAAGGTCTCTCTTGAACTGAGTTTTGAAAAAATTCATTGGACTCTGCACTGACAGTACAGAGCCTGCTTGGAATTCTCTCTCTCCCTCTCTCTCTGCCCCTCCCTCACGCTGTCTCTCAAAATCACACACACACACACACACACACACACACACACTTTGATGGGGTTACCACGGAAACACCATGGCATGGCACAATTCCCCGGCAGCTCCAAAGACATTCTGTACATGGTTCATCTCATTGAACGTGGTGGGTACCCCTCTGACAACAGACGATCAACTAAGTAAAGTCTACTTTCTACTCTATTGATCTTTGATCTTTGTTTTGGGCTCAGATGTCCTCTACAGCTTGATGCCAAAGTATGTTTCAAAGTAAAACATGGGCCTTGATCTGATCTGATATGCATTTAGCCTACCGTTTTTGAAACATCATGGCAAAGGAGAGGTCAAATACGAAGACACTCTTTAATTATCCTTAACTGAGAGAAACTAGAATCCCATAATTCTACTGAATGAGCTTTATCACTTGCAAAAGCCCCCTGCCCCAGGAGAAGGTATAAAAGAGTGAAAATTTTAAAACTTACTTGTTTTCTTTGTCATTTCCATTCAGCCTACCTTCAAATAAATACATAGGCAGTCCAGATAGGGTAGATGGCTAAAGAGAGGGATCATCAGCCCGTAGACACAAATATATCCTCTTTCAAGATTTTAGATCTTACCTAAAAAACATTCTCTATCAGGGAAGCCCTGAGGGTTCGACACCTGCTGGAAAACAGAGTAAAGCTTCAGCAGCTGACCCAGGGCCTCTGGCCCCCTTTAGTGAGAAGGGTTTTTGTACATTGACACAATGGGGAGCTATCACTGTGGTGGACGTTTGGCCAAGGAACCAAGCTGGAAATCAAACGTGAGTAAAACCCAAACCTTCCTTCTTCGGTTGTTCGTGTCTCGTGATTCCCGGGTCTATGAAGCGATCTGTATAAGCTGACGTTTTGCAACCAGGATCTGACATCCTCTAAGGCAAAGATAAAGTCTATAAACAAACTCAAAAGTGGATTACACACTTTCTGTGAGGAATGGGATTCAGTCATTGGGTGAGAATAACTTGTCTAAGTGATAGTTTCAGAAATCTATGGGGGAGTGTAATTATATGTTCTACACAGAGCCTCGCTCAGTTGTCAGAAAAGGAAATTCAGTTTTTGTATAGGAAGGAGATTAGGAGGAACTACTGTGTGTACAATTTCGGCCAGGGGACGAAGCTGGAGATAAAACGTAAGTATTTTTTTCAACTAATTCTTCACTGTTTTTGTCTAATTGGTTTGCTTTTTCTCTCCCCACCCCCCTGCCTTTTCACGTGTTCTAATTAATTACATGTCAGGTATAAAACAAATCTCACTCCCAGACCAGGTACAGAGGAGGGAAAATCATTCCACTGGAGGCTAGCTGACCGCTGGTTTTTAAGATTTCCAAATCAAAATAGGGTCACTGGGGAGACAGACTACCGTTTCAGGGCGGGTTTTCATAGAGGTGGAGGTTAAGGGAAATCACTGTGGTTCACTTTCGGCCAGGGGACCAAACTGGAGATGAAACGTAAGTACCTTTTTGTTCAATTATGTGTGAGGTTTTCGTCCTGTTGTAATATTTGTTCAAGTTTGTGACATTTTGGTAAAATGAGCCACTCCTGGTGCCCCAAAAGAAAATAGCAGAAAATGAGAAAAGAGCCAACTTTTCAGCTAAGCAAACAAATCGTTGAGTTTGTGATGAGAGTAGGCTTTGTGGGGAGAAGGGGAAAGACAGCTGGATTTTTCTCTGAATTGGACTTTCTTATATGATCAGCGTCAGAAGGAGGTTTTTGTTGAGGGCTAAAGTGTCAAAGCCCTCAGTGTGGCTCACTTTCGGCCCAGGTACCAAGCTGGAGATCAAACGTAAGTACACTTTTTAGTCCTTTTTCTGGTAGCGTTGTGAAATTTGGGGGTTTTCATGTGTGAAGTGTGAATTGAGGTCAATTCTGAAGAGCCCGGGATTCTTCTGAAAATCAGATGAGTAAGGGACTGAAAATCAATTTTTCTCTGTTGCCTGTTGAAATTTGGGTCTAAATATCAGTGATGACTTTCAGAGACTGAAGTATGAATTTTGTGCGGACGGGTACATGAGACCATTTCAGATTTGTCATCAATTTCAAAAGTTAAACTCAGCTCCAAAAATGGATTTCTAGACAAAAAGATTAATTTAATCTAAATTTCATTGTTCAAAAGGAAAAAAAAAAATTAGTGTAGATGAAAAGGAATCTTTGAAGCTCGAGAGAAAAAGTGAACTAATTTTCGCTGAGTTTTACCAGATGTTATAGCGAGTTTTGCTTGTTCTGTGATACAGAAATTTATTTCTTAGTCTGTTTTCTCTCCTGATAAATAATTTTATAAGATAACAATTAAAATCCATAGAATGCATGAAAAATTGGTAAGAAGTTAGAAAAGCGTAGTTGTTTGCCATGTAAAACCTGCAGCTTGAGAATCAGCTGCAATGCTATCTTTGGAGCCTAAGACGAGTGATAAACTGTTAATATTCAAAAATTCTACAGAAGCTCTATATCCTGATAGCTACCTTCTTTGTAAAAATCCAATTTCTATATTAGACTAAACGTGAGATGATTTCTTATTGTAATGGTGAAAAGATGGTTATCGCGAAAATCTCAGTTTTGAAAACATTCGTTTAAATTAAGTAAAATAAAATAATTGCATGTTTGAATGCCCATGGACTTGTAGAAAAATAGTAAATATTTTTAGTGAGTGTGTTCTTTTATTTCCCTCCGTTACTACTTGGCCACTTTATACCGTCAAGGAAGCCATGGCACATCTTGCGTGGTCTATAGACCTCATGGCGGTCTTTTGTCATGACTGAATAACTTTCGTGATCAGGCCACAGCACTCGTGTGGCAGTGCGCCTAGCCACTAAAGGCCACGGCCACTCCACGTTCGTTCGCCTGTTCAACTCTACTGTGGTGGCTCTCCCGACACAGTGATACGAATAATGGCACTAACGAAAAAGAATAGAAATGTAGTGGGCACTGAGCTAACGTAGAAGAAACAGGGAGAAGTCTGATTTATTAGAAATTTCAGAAATAAAATTCAGTCATTTTTATACGAAAATTTCCATTAGAGGACTGTAAAAAAGTTACAGCTACTTTTGTTTTCAGTGACATGTAATGATTTCAATATCCTCTCATCAAATATATTTAAATAATAAAAGTACAATCCTAAAGAAAGAAATATATATCATTCTTTCCGAGTAAAATCCTTACCAGCAAAAACTGAATTTAAGGCCGTCTGGCCATTCCAGTTTTAGTCAATTAACTTTTACTGAGTTCACATTAAATACCATCAGATAAAAAAATAAATTTGTGATATGTTTTTAATTTTCAAAAAATTAATGGCTTGGGAAGGACTATTTTTCAGTTGTATGAAATATCTAATCATAGACAAATGCCATTAATAAAAACTTGATATAAATATATTTTCCAATACTTTCATTCTGTAGTAGAAAATTTTTAATCTGAGTATTTTAATTCCATACCCTCTAAAATAGTTTAGTAATTTTTTGTTGTTTACTTCAGCTGATTTCAAAAGTGATGCTTATGAAAGATTATTTTTGGTCTGCAACAGTTTTATAGGACTATTTTAGAGCTGTTTTAAAACTCTGAGAACTATTTTAGAACTATTTAATCTATGTAGCTTTTTAAAACTATTTTAGGGCCTTTTAAAAACCTATTTTAGAAGTTTAAACTCCATTAAAAGCTAATAAAATGTCTTGTAAGACTTTCCATATCAATGTGCTAATCGTTTAATATTTGAATGCAGGATGGATATTTTAAAGGCATCAAGGAGTCACCCGGCTAGGAGTATCTTTCTAGAATACTTCCCTTCCTTTTTTTCTAGAATTCACACTATTTTGCGGCCAATGCTATTTTATAAAATTCTCAGAAAAAAATTAGTGATGAAGGTGAAAAGAGAAAAAAAAATCAAAACATAGAAAGTTCAGTATCTTACTTTGAAATGCTTCGTTAATGGAGGTTAGCTTTATAAAAACCTGTTCACTTATCTGCAGTCTTCTCCCAGCAGAGGATTCTTGATTTGTTATTTTAGCCCTTGCTCTCTGACCAGACAGCTTGAATGCCCACAGGGGGGGATTTCCCAGACGCCATCTGGCAGCTGCTCATGGTCAGAACCGAAGCTAGCTAGTTCCTTGTAGGCAGGTGGCCAAAATTACAGTTGACCCCCATTGTCTGGTCTGTTATCGCCCCATATCATGACAGCTGTCAGACGAGGGCTCAGTCTTCCTTCAAGGCCTTTGTAAGGAGGTGGGACAGTTGTTAGCCTGATCACAGAAGGTAACAGGGCTGTGCCTCAGCCCAGGCACAGACTCGGGGCTCAAAGTCACTCTATAGGGGGGGGTCTGGCTCTCACACACTCAAAGAAAACCCAGGAAGGAAAAAGCAGCCCGATATTGCTACACAGTTCTGGGAGAGGCACAGAGGAATGATCTCTGTAAGGGGGTCCAAGACCTGTTTTCTCTTCTTAACTTTGAGGGAGTCAGACTAAATGGCCTTTGTTTCTTTGCCTAAAGTACTGGGTGTAAGGCAGGGGGCAGGGAACACAGCTGAAGGAAAGAAGGTGAGGTCAGAAAAGCAAAAAAGCCCTTAAAATGGCTGCAAAGAGTTCAAACAAAACAGTGTAAAACTTTCTTAAGAGATAGGGGCTACAGAAACACTCCAAATCATGGAGATTATAAATCTGCTTCCTGGTGTCCCTCATTGCTACACAGAATAAATTGCTCTGTCTCCCTTACGGGCTCCAGGATTGCCCACAAACAATATGCCCAAATGGAGAACTTCCCTGTTACTTAACAACCATTCTCTGTGCTTCCTTCCTCAGGGAGTGATGCTCAGCCATCTGTCTTTCTCTTCCAACCATCTCTGGACGAGTTACATACAGGAAGTGCCTCTATCGTGTGCATGTTGAATGACTTCTACCCCAAAGAGGTCAATGTCAAGTGGAAAGTGGATGGCGTTGTCCAAAACAAAGGCATCCAGGAGAGCACCACAGAGCAGAACAGCAAGGACAGCACCTACAGCCTCAGCAGCACCCTGACGATGTCCAGTACGGAGTACCAAAGTCATGAAAAGTACTCCTGCGAGGTCACTCACAAGAGCCTGGCCTCCACCCTCGTCAAGAGTTTCAACAGGAGCGAGTGTCAGAGAGAGTAGCCTAGCAGGCCTCATCACCTGCGCCTCAGTCCCAGACTCTCTGTCTCCCTCCTCAGGCCTCCGGACCTTTCCCCATCGGAGACCCACACCTATTGCAGGCCCTTGTCCCCACCTTACTGCCTCCCCCTCTTTGGCTTTAATCATGCTAATAATATTTGGGGGGAAATGAATAAATAAAGTGAATCTTTGCACCAGTGATTTCCCTCTTCCTCCTCTGTTAATGGTTGGTATAGTTTGTTTGTTTTTTTTCCAATTACCCAGTTTATTTCTAAGCAACTAAACACCCAGTTGCTATAAAATCACCACCACGTATAAAAATCATCATCCCACATTCTACCTGACCTTCTTGTCCTCTACGAGACACTCCATGAAAGCCATAAGCGACCTGTCTTCATATCCTGCCCACTCCCAGGGCCATGGTGTAAGAGGCTTGCTTCCTCATGTTCCCCTCCTCAGCAGACCCTCAGAGTCCTTTTAAGGGTGACAGTTTCTACAGTCACATATCTTCTGATCCAGTTGAACTTACCTAAGAATTTACTCAAAGCAAATTTTTCAAAAGAAAGAAACATCTATAAAGAGTCATTCACTGTGACATTACATAAAATAACAAGACAATGAAAATGATCTAAATGAACACGCAACAGGGAAATGGTAAAGTCCATTATGGCACTTTAACTTAATGGAATGTGATCTCTCTATCTGCCAAAAACCATACTGAGTGCTTTCCACAACCTAATTTAAACCTTACTTTACTGCAAGGTTAAAAATGTTCATTAAAATGTTGGGCAAGTTCTAAGGTGCACCTGGCTGGCTCAGTCGGTTGGGCATTCCATTCTTGGGTTTGGGCTGAGGGCATGATCTCATGGTTTTGTGGGTTCGAGCCACGCATCAGGCACTGTGCTGACAGCACAGAGCCTGCTTGGGATTCTCTCTCTCTCCCTCTCTCTCTGCCCCTCCCCAACTCATGCTGTCTCTGTCTCTCTCAAAAACACATAAACTTTAAAAACTTTATTAAAAAATAAAAATAAATAAAAAATTTTAAATGTTGGGCAAGTTCTAGAAAGCTGAGAGAGATTCATACAGTATAACCTAGCAATCCCACTCCAAATGACTGTGTCTCTGTCCACCGGAAGACCTGTGCACATTTTCAGAGCTGCTTCATTTATAAAAGCCCAAAACCGGAAATAATCCAAATGCCCACCAACAATAGAATGGGTCACTAAGTTGTAGTATGTTTACACACTGAAATTCTATTACATAAGGAGAATTTTAAAACTATAACTATACCGAATGGCATAGATGAATCTTCATAAACATGACAAGCAAAAGAAACCAAACACAAAAGATAATTTAAAAAAAATTTTTTAACGTTTATTTTTGAGAGAGAGGGACAGACAGAACATGAGCAGGAGAGGGGCAGAGAGAGAGGGAGACAGAGTCCAAACTAAAAAAAAAAATTTTTTAATGTTTATTTTTGAGAGAGAAGAGACAGAGTGAGCACGGGTGGGGGAGGGGCAGAGAGAGAGGAAGACACGGAGGCGGAAGGAGGCTCCAGGCTCTGAGCTGTCAGCACAGAGCCGGACACTGAGCTTGAACCCACAAGCTGTGAGATTATGACCTGAGCCGAAGTCAGATGCTTAACCACTGAGCCACCCACGCACTCCCAAAAGATATATTCTGTATATTTTCATTTATATAAAGTTCCAAGCCAGTTAAAACCACAATTAGAAATTTGGATGGGGATTACTTTTGGGCATGGGGTGAGGTGGTGCCTAGCAGGAGGGCTTCTGGAGTTTTGTTAAGTAATGTATACCACTGTGGAAATTTGTCAAACTGTATAATCTGTGCACTTTTCTACATATAGATAGATATAGATATATAGATATAGATATAGATATAGATATAGATATAGATATAGATATAGATATATAGATACAGATGACTGGTACTTCAAAATAACTTCACATCAAGAAATATCTTACACCAAGGGCACCTGGGTAGCTCAGTCGGTTTAAGCGTCTGGCTCTCGGTTTTGGCTCAGATCATGATCTCACAACTTATGGGTTTGAGCCCCATGTTGGCTCTGCACTGACAGTGTGGAGGCTGCTTGGGATTCTCTCTCTCCCTCTCTCTCTGCCTCTCCCCGACTCATGCTTCTATCTCACAAATAAATAAACATTTAAAAAAAGAAATATCTTACACCCAATTTATAGATAAAAGAGGCTAAGGTCAAGACCACATGGTCAGTGGTGGGCCTCGGATCAGATCCCCACCTGCCTAACTCTGCTCTCTGAAAACGTATACAATTCTGCCTTCCTGTGCTTATGGTGCTGCATAGAACAAAGAGTTAAACGTTCCATCTTCCTGAGGTCTCTCCTCTTTTCATCCTTCTAGAAGGTGCCATTCGGCCTGGGTACCTATGCTGGGGGGAGGAGAGGGAGGGTTGGTATCAATGTGAACAAGGTGGGACCTTTTACTAAAACTGTATCAGTGGCCAGAGTGGCCACTGGAGGACCTAAGGCTGAATCTCCAAGACAGAAGCCAGGGATTCTGTGCTCTCTCCCTACTGGGTGAGCACTGGTGAGTTAGCACTAGGGTTCAAGTCACCCATTACCATGAGCCTGGCTAGATGAAGTGGACACATTGTTATGTTCTTTTCCCACATCATTGTTCATATATAATTGCCTGGGAAGATATGCTCACAAGTCATAACAGGAAGTTACTTGACGTTTGTGCCTCAGTTTTCTCATCGGAAAGTCTTACTTGTAAGACTGTTGTGAGACTTGAATGAAATAATTCATGTGAACCACTGAACACCCAGCCTAGCATGTATTGAGGAAGGCACAAGTATTAGTCATCGTCATAATAATAGTAGCTCAGTTTGGCTACTATTTGATGTCTTTCAACTTATTCTCCAGCCATAATTCTTTTAACCCCAAAGACTTCCCTTTCCCCAGTTGGAGTGCTTTGATACCTTTGTTGAAAATCAAGTGACCATAAAGTTGGGTCTACTTCTAAAAGCTCTATTCCATTCCGGGACCTATTTGTCATTAGACACTGCCTTGATTGCAGAAGCTTTAGGAGTTCCACTGTGGATGTGCCAAGTCTGAGATGCCTACCAGGCAACAAAGCAGAGATGACAGGTGGACAACTGGATAGAAGACCCTGTAACGTGGAAGACAGAGGTCAGTACTAGAGGCATAAATGTGGTCATCGCCATAAGGATGGTGTTAAAAGCCCTCAGACTGTGACAGAATAGACACCAGGTGTGCAGGGATAGAGAAACCCAAGCACTAAGATGGGAAGCACTCCAACATTAAGAAGTTGGTGAGATGAGGAAGAACCAGAAAAGAAGACAGAAAGGATTGGTCAGAGAAGGAGGAAAATCAGGAGAGTGGTGTTGTCCTGGAATCCAAAAGAAGAAATGTTACACAGAGGAGAAACTGATCAGTTGTCAACTGTTGTCAACTGGAATGAAAATGGACCACTGGATCTAGAGATGTGGGGGTCATTGGTGAACTAGATAAAAGCAGTGTCCATAGAACAGCAAGGGCAAAAATCTGATCAGAATGAGTTCAAGAGAAAATGAGAAGAAAGAAATTGGAGACAGTTTGCACGGCCAAGTCTTTGGAGGAAAGAGTTGGAAAAAGGCAGTATCTGGAAGAAGAGAAATGACAGCCTTTTGGAATGCTAATGAGAATAATCCGGTAAAGAAGAAAATCTGGTGCTGCAGGAAAGACAAGAGAAACATGCTGGAGCCATGCCCTTGAGTAGGTGAGATGGGGTGGGTGGAACACAGGTGGAGGTGCTGCCCCTCGCTAGGAACACAGCTCAACCACAGACAGAAGTGAAGGGAGTGTCCACACGCACTGATGCAGAGAGGTCCACAGACATGCTGGGAATTGTTCATAACTTCTTCAATAAATATGTAGAATTTAGATTGTGGAGCTTTAGCGATTCAAGAAGACTGTGTAGATAGAAGTACACAAGTAAAGGCTCCAGGAAGGGGAAGCTAAGAGAAGATGGAGAAGATTGGAATTCACAAGGGAGTCCCCTTACCATCCGCCACTTCCTGTCCCCTAGGTTCCACATGCCAATTCCTTCCATGAATTCTTAGAGACCAGTGGCATGGGAAAGACCCCCATAGATACCTCTGGTCTCTCCCCTTAGCTCCTTTCAGCCTTTCTACCCCTCCATTGTCCTAACAATCTCTTCTTAGGACTTGAATGGCTCTTACTACCCCTACCATGTGGTTACTTATCTCTTAAAAGAAGGTCCTACCTCCTAACTCTGGAACCTCTGTATCCCTGAAACCAGCAAGATTCTCTGCATAGAGGGAGAAAAGGGATGATGGTGAGGACAGGGGCAATGGGGAAAGCAGAAGAGGGGAGAGTACTGTCATTTGCTAGCACTGTCACTAGCACGACCACCTTGATTCTCATACCACACACTGAGGTATTTATTAACCTGGCCTCATAGATGAGGATCCTGAGGCTAAGGAAGGTTATGTAGTGTGCTTAAAATCACAGAGCTCACAAGACGTAGAACCGTAACTTAAACCAAGCTTATCAAGCCCAAACCACCATGTCTTTCTTAGAGTTTGCACTCAGCAGGTTCTGTGCAGGTTTTCAGTAACACTGGTTTGTCATAGTAATAGTAAGGCCTCAAGCGACTCTAAAACTAACAAAAAGATTGGACTAGAGAGTGAATGAAGGTCTTCCCTCTCTCTGAGTCTTTCTTAAAAAATTACACAAGCTTTTGTTTCACCACGGGCTCAAAGAACAAATAAGGAACAGCCTTCAACTTACGACACCATGATAAAATGTTGATGGTCAATGTAGGAAACAAAAAGTACACAGAGAAAACCTTCTGTAACACTCCTTCTGTCTCAACACATGCCAGCTTGTAACAGGTTTTTACTCCATAATAATAGCAATGCATACAATGTCCAACACTGACAACGATGATCGTGTCACTGAATCCTCCAACAACCCCATGTGTAGTCTGTATTACAAGGAAACTAAGACTTAGTGTAAATACCATGTCCAAGGTCACACAATAAGTAAATACCAAAGTCAGGTCTCAGACTCAGGCAGCCTGATCAACAGCCCTAACTGCAACACATTGTGGTCCCTTCACAACTTCTATTCACAGCTGCCATTCTTAGGGGCAAAGAAGCCCTGGGTCTTTGACCGAGT